CTGTTGGTGTTGGGCCTGGGCATCCATTTCTATGTGCCGTGCCATTTTGACCGCCATAGGCGGAGGCTGTTGCTGAGGCGGTTGTTGCGGCGGCTGCTGCTGCTGGGGAGGTTGCGGGAGCGGAGACTGCTGCTGGTGAAGCGGGGAAGCTTGTGGGCCAGGTTTGCCCTGTGAAGCTTGAGGAGGGGGTTGTCCATTGCGGGGCGCATTGGGATAGGCCGGGGACACGACACCTGCATTGGGAGTCGTTGGTTTGTTGGACAGCGGTTGTGGTGTTTGAGGGGTGTTGGGTTGCTGATGCGAGGTGGGCGTGCTGGGGGCTATTGATGCAGGCGGTGATGGTAGGCTCTGAGGCATGGCTCGGCCCTGCATAGTAGCCATGCGTCTCCGCATCATCTGTGCCTGCTGGAGCCTGTGCTGCAGCTGCTGCTGACGCAGTTTGTGCTTTATATTGAGGCAGAAGGGCACGGGGCACTTGTTCTCCTGACAGTGCTTGGCATGATAGCAGCAGAGCGCAATGAGCTGCTTGCACACCGGACAGCCACCGTTTGTCTTGCGTTTGCAGCCCTTGGTGTGCTGCACCACACGCTTCATCTTCTGGCAAGATGGCAGAGAGCAGTTGGCATTGCGGCACTGGCAGGCATGCACTAGAGACTGGATGCAACGCTGGATGCTTAGACGCCGACTCTCCTGAGGACTCTTGGAGGCCTCGCCGCTTTGACTGTTATCATCGTCCAGACCCAGACCCCACTTAACCATCTGGTGCTCATGGCCATTAGTGTTATAGCAACTAATGCACAGGTCAAAGTCCTGCAGAAAGATGAGGGCACAGTGATTAACCAAGGAATGACAGGAATATCAAAAGTCATCTCATTATGAAAAGACAAGAAATTATTACGATGCATCAACAACAAATGGACAAAACATGTGAAAGATGTGTTTACACTACTAGTAGAATAGATGTTACTAAAAGATCCCATGGCTCCCCAAGTTTCAAAATCACAAAGGTTTTCTTTTCTAATGTGCTCAAATCAAAACAAACCCAGAAACACACCCATCCACTACTGATCATAAACGAGAGCTGTAGCGTGTTACAGGAGCCTCTGTATCTTACCTCGCAGACAGTACAGTGCCAACGTGTCTCGACATGGTGTTTACATTCGTTGCAAGTGTAGACAAAGCGGTCATGGCCCTGGTTGTGCAATTCCACCAGCATGCACATGGTGCTCCACTTGCAGCGGCGCAAAGAGCTGAACTCCCAGTGCTTATCCCGTGCTAATGTCAAGAAGGCGTCCCTTCCATCCATTAGGTCGCAGTTCAGAAAGGGATCGGGGTCAACGATGGGTAGTAATGAATTGACCATGGGCCCAGAGTGCAGATGGATTACAAAAAACACCTGGGAGAACAAGTGGGACAAGGTAAGAGGTTTCATAAGACTTTTCCAGAGAAAAACATTTGGCTTATATGTATATCAAAAGGTGACATTCAAAACAGTGAAAAACTTCAAGTTAAACAATGTACATGACTCATGCAATGCCTTAGAGAGCAAGATCAGTTTTTCATGATCAGATGAAAAACATATAGTAGACCTCTTTGTGTTTCTCCATTGTGGCGTAGAGTTTCTGAGAAAGATCATTGGCTACATTCGGCATCCCAGGTTTCTTTTTATTAGCTCGGCACATGCTGCTTTTATTCTTATTTGTTTTCTTGTTGTTCTTCTTCTTTGCGTTCTTACTGTCCCCTGGCGTACCCTGTTAGAAAGAATAATAAGTGTCTATAAAGGTTGTTTGGAGTTTATAAAAGAGATGCAAGTTAATCTACAGAGTCTCAAATAAAATGAACCTTATTAAGAGTAGGGTTGGGTACCGAAACCCGGTGCCGTACCTATGTAACTGGTATGTACGCAGATTTCGGTGCCTCATTTCGGTGCCACTTAAATGCCTGAGCGATCGATTTAAATATTTGTCCTGGTTCTTCTCCAAAATGGACGTAAGAAAGCATGGGCATCGCTAGACCATTTTTAGCAGGGCTATAGCGATTAGCTCCATAAACTATACACAAATTCGTGATCGCCTCAAGGGTCAGTACCCTTTAAATTTAATTTGAAAACGGCGGCAGACTTCGTCTCCTCTCCGTAGACTGCGGCGGCGCAGAACGAGCGGACTCAAACAGAAACAGAGGACACAAGGTGTGTGTTTATCGATAGATTGTTATAATATCTGTATATGTGCAGTTCTTTGTCATAAATACAGTTTACAAAAGGTCACGAGGGAGCTATCGGTTTCCCATCTACTGTAAAGTTTTTGCTGCGTTCACCCCTCATCATACCACAGCTGTTTCCTCCAGCGTAAATCTAGCCCTTAACACATATGAACGCATACTTTATAGAACGATCATGTTGCTATTTTCATTTGAAAGTTTAATATTTAATATAAAACATATTACAGTGCATGTGGCATACCATAGTCATTCACAGAAGTGATTAAAGACAGTGACAGACAGCACCCAGTCAATTCACTCATTTCAACTAAAAAGCAGAGTGACTGACAGAGATACAGTAGAAACATTGTGGTTTTGTATTAAAGGGGTCATATAATGCGATTTCAATATTTCCTTTCTCTTTGGAGTGTTACAAGCTCTTGGTGCATAAAGAAGATCTGTAAAGTTGCAAAGACTAAAGTCTCAAATCCAAAGAGATATTCTTTATAAAAGTTAAGAGTCAGCCACGCCTACCTAAAACGGCTCGTTCTAACACACCCTCACATATCTACATCACTATGTGGGAAGATTTGCATAACGCCGCCCAAATGTTCATGTAAAGAAAGGCGGCGTAACTTTTATTCTGGCTGTAGTATTGTTGCTGTTGTGAATGCGCTGTGTGATTCGTTGTGAAAGCATTCCTCACTTTATCCCCCGGCCTCTACTCACTCAGCCCGCCGACCATTCCTCACTTTATCCCCCGGCCTCTGCTCACTC